TTCCTGGTTCGTCAATTCACGAGTGGCAATTATTCCACCAAACAAAGCCCCGATAACATTGAGTTCAGGCATGCTATGGAAAGCGGATCCTAATCAGACCACTTGTCGCTATCGGTCAGACTTCGCATCAGCCACCCTTTGGGGTTTGTTATTTCAAGTTACTCGGTCAGAGCTAAAAACTTGGCCCATAGATATCACGTGTTATCGCAGGGGCACACTCATCGAGGGTCAACCGTTAATTTTATTCACCTTTCATGTCATATGTGCGTGGAAGAATTTTATCACCAGGGATGAGAATTGACCCAACATCCATCGCCGTGTTCAAACAAGGAGTATAGGACATCCAGAAATCTGATTTATATAAGAAAAAATAGATGCCCTGTATCTGGCGGGTCCATGGTGTAGCAATGGGAGCCGCTATAAAAAGGCACTACACCAACGCCCGATATTTACGTTTTCAAACTACGTGAAGCCCTGTCTCACACTGGAGTGCGGCAAGTCTATGCGTGTTCGAGCAAGATGTCCAGACCACTCCTGCGGACCTCGCATTCTCCAATAACAAAGTGTTCCTACCTGCTATCGAATGAGTGGTCATCATTATTCCATCCATTTTTTCAGGTTAAAAATGTCTTTTCTTCAACAGTCGTATCAACTACGAGAAAATGCAAGCGTTATTCGAGTGATGTTGCCGTTGACCGTCTTCCAGACCATGTGCTATTTGATTTTTAGTATTGGCTACCCCGTGGTGTTTGCATATCGCAGTCATATGTCGTTTGCCACTTATCGAACAATTCTTACGTCATGTTATGTAAGTGAGTTTTTGTGCAATAGCACCTCATGTTTTATTATCGACCACAGACCACTGGAAAACTACGAAGCTGTTCTAGAAGCCGGCTCAAGAACCTCATAGCGTGTCGATTACAGTTAAATGCATAATGCATGGACTCATAGCTCGCGCATGGAGACTTGTCTTCACTAAGCATAAGGCATAATACAAACATGGTGACATTAATCAAATCCTCTTTGGGACTGCTCACGTTTTACTTCCGCTTAAAATCTTGTGGTATTAGGG